GTTGCCCAAGCGAGGGCGGGGCCAACACACCATTCCTGTTAACAAGCATGTTGTCGACTTGCATCGCTGGCAAGCCGCCTCCCAGCTGCTTTGGCAGGCCGTCGACTTGCTGTGCTGGCAAGCCGCCTTCGTGCTGCGCTAGAGGTTGACTTGCTTGTTTGCTAGGTTGCCTTGCTTCTCATGTTGTCATCCTTACCAAACCATTGTGTACCATTGTTCTCAGCTTTTCTAAGTGAAACTCTCACTAAATTGCTCTATAAACACGCAAGTAGAGAGAACGCAAGGAACGCTAAGGTCACTCGTACCACCCGTGACCTCCCACGTAGTCCAACTACTACTGTTGTAGAGTGACTATCCGCAGCCTTCAGAGCCTTATGGGCCAATCTAGCCGCTGTCGAGCATACCCGGTCATTTTCAAGTTTGCGCATGCTCTTCTCACCAACTGACCCGTATGTCTCCATGTGATACAGGTCCCCCACTTTGACCCCCCTCATCCATTCGACACCCTTTTTGCATCCCAAACGGGCTTCTCTCCCGGAAGTGAATGTTGTGGTTGAAAAACAAGAACTGATCTGCAACTTCTCATCTGTTCGTTGGCACCGACGGCAGTGGCAGACACGCATTCAAGGCGGTGCGGACTGTGGCCTAATTACCAGTTAAGAATGTGGATGTATGCATGTCATAATGTATCTCGTTATACCACACTCGGAAGGAAACATAAGCGTGTAAGTATTTTTTGGGTGGGCATTATATGAAAACATTTTATGTATTATTCGGGTTTACTTGTTTGGTGTGACACCGTGCTGATTCTCATTCACAAGATCCACACTAGTGATACGATTCACGTATGCGGGCAAAACAAATCGCCACGCGGCCACGCTTGTGCAGATTTCACCATTTCACGTCCGTACCGAATTGCATGTGCTGCTGAACCAAATTGTTCATTTCATACGGTGAAAAAAAAAAAACTAAAACTAAAACTAAAACCCTAAGGGAGGCATGCACGACTTTCAGGGTATCAACCCTAAACACATTGCCTGTTTTCGTATTTAGGGATGATCCATCCCGAATTGCACCACTTTCAAATTATCGACCCTAAACACCCGGCCAGTTCCCGTGATTAGGGTTGATGGTTCTCGAAGTTCCCGTGATAAGGGATGATGGTTCTCGAATTGCGACCGTAATCGTAAGGGTTTTTTTTTTCCAGTTGATGCCACTATCGGAAGTTTCTGCCAGTAGACATGAAACGTGACACTAATATGGATATCGCATGTGAGAATCCCTCTAAAGCATCACTTTTTTAGTACACTTGTGAGTAAATAAGATATTTTCCAGTAATACCCAACCAATAAATAACTTACCCAACATTCTCCTATCAGAAGTAGTAGGAGTACGGCCTAGGCTTAGTAGCCTAGGCCACAGTAGGACTAGTAACGAGGAGCCAAGTACGAGCTAGGATTGTGTGCAGGAACAGAATTGAGAAGGAATGATTGAACTAGCAAGCAGAATGATACAAATAGCAAACCCTAAGGGGCTGTACTCACTATAGAGTACCCCACTGCAGGCTACACAAACAACATATTCTGACATCTCCTGCTCCAATGGCGAGCTTGTTGAAGGCTGGCGAAACGTCTGTGTCGGGTTCAGATTATGGCAGCCTAAAAAAGTGGAGCGACTGTGAATGTCATAATGCGCAAGGACAAGGTACACATTATGCCTGATTGAGCCCCTCCCGGTTGCCTTGTGAAGGGGGCGTATAAGCTGTATCGTCCATTTCGCATAAGTTTCGTCAATTCGCAGCTAGCTAAAAAGGACTCGCAGGTGCTTATATACAGGATCTGTAACCTTATCCGTTGACATTTTGACTTCAGTCTCTTCAGTTTGACTTCGGTCTGTTCGTTACAATTGGTTCATAACCACGCGACGCGCTTGTACCGTGGGTGCAACAGGCTGGGGAAAAAACCTCGGGTGCAGCGTTTCCATCCGGTGCAGAGCAAATTCGCGTGCATGGGGTGGGCATCACCTGTAACCAAGTCGCCCGCCTCACTGAACCACTAGGACCAGCGCCCAGGAAGTCAGGATTTTGCGCCGTTCCACTGTTTACCTTGGCGATGACGGTGCAAATCCAGGTCAAATCGTTCCGTGTCACCTCTTTACAGCAGTACATTCCTTTGGAGTTACCCCGATCTTGCAGTTTCCAGCGCGTTCCCTCACGGGCTCTTACGGTTCAAGATTTTTGTCTGAGGGGATGTTACATCTGCCAGGCCACTGCTGCGCTCGTGAAACAAACATAGAAATAGACGAACTGTGACAGAAATGTCCGACACTAAACCTACAACTGACAACAGCAACAGCAGAGCAACCTGGAACACAAACACGTAAGAGCTGACCCCCCATCCCTCACCCGCTCCCTGATCCGCCTTATATGAGGAGCAAGGGGTGGGGGTGGGAGGGGGTACTTGGGCGAGCCCGTGACTGCAATGATCCATTGCCCCAACTAGGCTCCCTCACGCCCTTTTAAAACCACCATGCTTGTCATTTCACCGATCGCGCATTTCCAGAACCTTCAGGTTTGTTATCAACGCTTCAATAGCCATTCAACGGAGAAAGAACTCCGTACCAACTTTTTAGCCCCGCAAATACGATTATCAAGAAGAACATGCAGCGAGTGAGGAGGAGCATGCCACACCTGGAACACAGCAGTTGCTGAACATGAGTCACAGCTTGTATCAGGCAGGTGCCCCAAAACAGGAATCAGATGCTGGTCTGGGGCTTGCACAGCGTTCAAGTGGGGTTCCTCCAACTCTCTCCACTCGTCACGTCATGCAAGTCATGCAACACACTGCATGCTCATTTAAATACTGATGCTTAATAATAAATTTCTACATTCTAGCCAGAACGAGTGTGCTCTTCATGTAACCGCCCAGCTATGGTCTGCAGCCAGCATCTGTTGCGGACGCCAGATTGTGACCTAATCACTCAAGTTTGAGACGAACATCACATGCCCCGAATTTTGGTTCAGTAGCGGAAGTTGAAAACAAAATAATGCTTCATACCGAATCAATTTCCCTGAACAACTTCTTGTAAACAGAACCAATTGTACGAAACCTCTTCCCTCCCTTGTTTGTGTGTGTGTGTGTGTGTGTGTGTGTGTGTGTGTGTGTGTGTGTGTGTGTGTGTGTGTGTGTGTGTGTGTGTGTGTGGACAGATTGAAGAGTGGTGCAGGATGCTCTGTGTGATGGGGTCTCTGCTTTACGTATCGGCTTATCGAACCATCAAGGTTCTGGGACTTGCCTAGCTACAGTGCACAAGACAGACTGTCGCGCCGCCCAGTGGCGGAGCAGTTTTGTTCATCACATGCTGCTCTTGAATGTGTGGACAGGCTACAATTTTAGTTTCGCGTGTGTCCTTCCGACAGCTGTCTCGGGGGAGAAAACCCTTTCACAACGAACTGTGAGAAAGTGGGTGGGCCCGTGCAGTACAGTTCTGTGCAAGGTGCCGCGGGGAGTCTATAATTTTGCACCACATCCAGGCGGGGACAACAAGTTTTGGGTGTGGTTGTATGGACCTGTGGTCACACTGACTCGGGAGTTCGAAAGGACACACTGTACAGTAGAACAAGGAGGGTGAGTTTGGGGTAGTTATAGCGCTACACTGTTGCTGGCCAGTATAAAAAATCTGTCGCCCAGGCCTTCAAAATGAGAGGGCTACACAAGCACTGCTGATTTTACGGTGGTGGTTGGTTAGCACTGATGAGAGCGCGCGTTCACCCGCCAGACGCGGCTGCAATTTGTGGCTTGCCGCGCCTGTCAAGTTATGGCTGGGATAACTGAACTGGGAATGAAAAGGACTTGTCACATAGACGTTGAGTTTTCAGACCGCTAATTTTACAGTACAGAGCACAGAAATACACTGATGAACTGGTAAACTACGGTACAGTTCACGAACTTCTAGCACGGCATTCACCAACTTGGTGTACAACTGGTCAGTACATGCGAACTTTTCATAATCCTCCAATGGAAGGGTACATCTCGGTAGATTTCGAATGCTGCAAATGGTGGGCCTTTGGCTTGGGCAGCTAGCTGTAAGGAAGACAGGTGGTGGACCAACCACAAATACCGGCGGCTTGTCAACAGCCGTCTGCCTGTCGGAGCTCCCAGGAATGTTCCGCGGTGCCCCCGAGGGATGCAAGTCGGGCTCGGGAGCGGGGCGGAGCCACTGCTGGGAGGGGGCTCGGTTCGTCATGAGCATGGGTGATGGCAAATGGGAGTGCAGTGCGATTGTCCACACGGGATGCGACTGTTTCCGCTGCCTCTTCTCTAGGGTTTCGTTTCGTTCCGTTTTGTTTCACTCTGTCTGCTCTCATTGGGGATAGTCATTTCTCCCTCCAGCAGGGGTTGGGGAGGTAGTTTGTGACAGCCATGGCTCCCATCAACACCTCCACCGTAACGCGTTCTGTCTCGCCAAGTCCCGCTCCACAGATGTTTCTGCGCAAGCCGTTTAGAAGAGACGAAGCATCCCCTTTTCTCCTGCTACCAGTAGAGGTCCAGGCTCGAGTACTAGACCTACTCGATGGCGTTTCTCTCGCGAGGCTCGCCTGCACCTGCACGGCCATGCGCCAGGAGATACTTTCCCATGATAACGCGCATGCTTCCGATAGATGGCACAGGTACTCAATTGACCTGCGAATTGCCCGCTGCCATCACGCCGCGTCGTTTTTCCACTTTACATAGCGCCGAAACTTGTCGTTCGCCCCTCCCCACGCGTCCGTATCCGAACCTAGCCACCCCCCCTCCCCTGCGTTTCCGTTTCCCTTCCCCCTCTTCTTTCTACCCCTTCATGTTACACGCGCATCCTATATTTAGTCTGCTACTCCGCTTCCACGCGAAACCTTGAACGGATTCGGTTGCCACGGTCTTGTGTCCCCCCGCCGTGTGATGCGCAGCCTCTGCATGTCGCGCCTCGGCCCCTCCATTTGCGCCTTGCATCGTGCCTTCGCCATGCACCGCCACGCGGAAGAGACTTCCGCGGAGCAGCAGAGCGCGCAACCCCCGCCCGCCGACGAGCTCGACGATCCATGGCGTCTGAGCGGCGCGTCCGCAGATGATCCGGGACGGCCCAGTCGCGTGCCGAGGGACCGTGGGCGGCAGCGGCGGTGGCTATTGGAGGGCGGCGGCGGCCGCGTGCAGACGTGGTTCTGGCATCGCGTCCTCGGAGCGAGCATCCGAGCCGTCGAGCTGCAGTGGTGGCCTAACGGCGGCGAGATCTTCCGCCAAAGGTGCGCTGTCTAAGCTCTTCTCGCGCTCCGCCCTCGACACTTCCCCCCCGCATCCCCCCGCATTGTTCGCCTAAGTTCCCGCGTCTGACGCGAGCCGTCGCGACCCTCGATTCTCATAACCCTCGCGTCCTTCCTTCCGCATCGCCCGACCCTCGTCATGCCTCTGCCGTTCCCCGTCGGTTCCTCCGTGTCATCCGCGCAGTCTGATAGCGGCCAGGCGCAGCAAGCAGGAGGAGGGCGGGGTGGTGACGGCGCCGCTGTTGCCCATGGCGGCGCCGCCCGTCGCGGGCGTGTGTCCGTACGACGAGACGGCGGTCAGCGCGCTGGAGTCGCTGGAGCGCACGGGGCATTCCGCCACCGAGGTATCTACTCCCTACCCCCGTTCGCGCTTCCCCCCCGGTTCCCTTGCCCCTTCCTGTCCCGTCGTCCCGCCGCCCCGCTCGTTTCCCCGCTCTCATACACAAACCGTCGCGCGCTCTTCCTCGTGTCGCCTTCCGTCAACATCGCAGCGCCCACATGCCTTGCCTTCCCCAATTTTGTCTCCCGACAGGTGGGCACGTGGCAGGTTATCATTGGCGGGTTGATGCGCAGCGGGCAGGCGGTGATGGACGTGGTGCTGCTCAACACCGCCACCATGGCCATGCGCCACCCGCTCGTGCACGTTTTCGCCGACGACTCCCCGCCGCTCCCCCGCTTCCGCCACACCGCCGTGCCCGTGCGCGTCGCGGAGTCGTTCCGCCATGGTTTCGCGGGGCCCGCGGACCCCGTGCTGTTTGTGTTCGGCGGGTATAACCTACAGGTGCGCGCACTCTTCCGTGCACTCAACTCGGCCGCGCCGCCGTGTTGCTCCCGGCGCCTTTGCCCTTGACAGTGCGTTGAGACAACTCTCGAGAAGAAAGGTCGTTCATGTTTTTTTCCATGGGCCTTACTTCCTGGCGACGCGCCCACTTGATTTCTTGCCCATCGCTTTTCTTCCGCCGCCGCTTTTCCCTCACCCAACCTATCCTTCCCCGTGCGCTCCGATCCTCCACTCGGCGTACTCCCCTTGTCGCGGGAAACAGGGCGGTGTGTACGGCGCGGAGGAGTCGTTCTTCCTCGCCGTGACGGATGACGGTCGCCGCGTCGTGTGGCGCAGAGCCGCCGCGACCGGCGCGGCGCCGTGCCCGCGCTTCCACCACACCATGTGCTCTTTCGACCGCGGCTCGCACGTCGTCGTCTTCGGGTAAACCCTCTTCCTCGCCCTCGTGCTCTTCCCCGTTCTCTCGCTCTCCCGTTCCCCTCGTCCGCGGAGCTCCCGCCCATGCCTTCGCGCTCTCCGCTTCTTCCGCATGCGCCTGTTCCTGCGCCTCGCCCTTTGCCCTAGTCATTTAGCTTTCCCCTTCGCCCTCTCCCCGTCCCTCTCTTCCCCCTTCCCCGCCCGCACGCTCTTTTCCGCAGCGGCGAGGGCGCGCAGCTGAACGACTGGTCGGATGAGGCGGACGAGCAGTTGCGCGGATGGGATGCGGCGGAGGGGGGATCCGGGGAGGCGGAGATTGCGCTGAACGACGGGGATGCGCAAGCGCGCTCCCGGAACGGCACCCGCCCTCTCGCGCACGATCTTCTCGAGCGGCGGAGGCACATTGCTGCGCAGTCGGGGCAGCAGGACCCGCGTTCCGCCGCGGGATGGTGCGCCGGCGGGTCGAGCAGCAGTCCGCTCCATGGCGGCGCAAGCGCGCTCGTGCGCGATGCAGGAGCGGCCGATGCCCCCCCGTGTGACGCACCCGCGGATCGTTTCGCGCGGAGTGGCGGGAGGGAGGGGCGGAGACAGTCGGCGGGCGGGCAGGGGAGCGGGGGAGTGAGCGGGGAGTGTAGTCGCTCTTGGTTGGGGGGTAGCAGCACCAGTTGCAGCACTGCTGTTCATAGCGGCAGTGACAGCGACAGCGGCTGCAGCAGCTGCGCTTACAGCAGTGGCACGACGAGTCTCGGTCGCGCAACCTCCGCCTGCAGCTGCTGTTCCGCGGACGAGTGTGATCAGCGCGTGCGCGCAAGCGCGCGCTGCGAAATGCGCGCGCGTCCCGCCGATTCCGCCGCGCACACAGAAACGTCCGAGGAGCACGCGGAGAGCGGGGATAGCGCTGGCGTGCGCGCCGGCGAAGCGGAGGGCGCGGTGGCGTACAGAGAAGCGGGCGGGGAATCGGGCGCGTGGGGGGCGGACGAAGGCGCGGGAGGCGCGGAGCGCGGGGAAAGAAGCGGGGAAGGGGCGGGGGAGCGCGCGGTGGTGGTGTACGTGCTGGACGTGGCGCACATGGCGTGGCGGAGAGTGGTCACGCGGGGGCGCGGCCCGGGCGTGCGCTTCCTGCACTACGCGTGCACACACTCGTCGTAAGCCCGCTGCCGCGCTGTGATTGCCATTCCCGAGCGCATGCTCGCACTCTCCTCCCCACGTTCACAGCGTCCCTGCTGACGACCATCCCATTGCTCTCGCCATGCCTCGCCGCATCTCGTTTCCCTCTCTCACCTCTCCTTCACCTTTCACCGACTCTTCGGTTTGGTTGTCTATCCCTCCCCCGGCTGTGCGGCGGCAGGGAGCGCGAGGAGGGGCGGGAGCGGCTGGTGGTGTTTGGCGGGTACCGTGAGAAGCACGAGGAGATGGAGGACATGCAGGTGCGTCTGTGCTGCCTTGCCTCTGCGCGCCCTTGCCACTGTGCCAGCCACGTGCTTAGGTGTGTGGTGTGGGGGGCTTATGGTGCTGTTGTCTGTGTGGTGCGCCGTGGGGTTCTGAGGGCAGTATCTAGACCACCAGCAGCACCAACTCCTTGATGCGCTTGAGGTGTTACGCAGCAGCTATCGTGCTCCGTCCCTCTCTACTCCTCCCCTTCCCCGTGTGATTTTCTCCCCTTTCCCGCCGCTACCCCGCCCCCTGTCGCCTTTCGCAGGCGTTCACGCTAGACTTAACGAGCATGGTGTGGACCCCTCCTCCCCGCCTGCCGCCCCCGCGCGCTGCTCTGCTGCCGATGCCACGCCACCGCTCGGGCATCACCAAGGTGCGTGCTGGCCCAGTCCACTCGCCTCTGGGGGGGCACTCACCCTACACCGCCAAGTGCCTCGCGCTTTTGTCTGCCTGCATGTGCCAAGCCTTGACGACGCTCTGGTACCGATTCTTTCCATGTCCCTTGCTCCGTGCTCCATGCGTGTTGTCCCGGTATCGCCTTGCTGTCCTCCACAACCCCCTGCTGTTGCTGTGCGCTGTCCCCTTAATTTTCAAAACTTGCCTGGTGTTGTGTGCGGGTGTGTGTGTGTGTGTGTGTGGGCGTGAGCAGGTGGGGCCGGACCAGGTGCTGCTGATGGAGGGCACAACGTACGGCACACGCGACTACCTGTCAGACGCATACCTGCTCAACCTGCACTCCCTGCACTGGTGAGACACGCCATGCCACGCCCACAGGGGCCGGGGCACTGCAGCACGGACAGGGGCACGGCCGTGATGACATATGATGGGTGACTTTACCGGGCATGGCATGACGCCTGTTGCTGTGCTGCATGCATGCTCGTCACCCCATGTGTTCTCACTCACTCGCCCACTGTCACCCTTAGCCATTCACACTGTGCCCTATTGATGCACCACCCCCGTGCCACCAGGTCGCCTGTGCGCGTGCATGGGGCAGCCATGGCGGGCCCCAGTGCAGGGCATTCAGTGGAGGGGCTGCTGGTGGTGGGCGGCTGTGTGCTGGGCACACTAGGCATCCATCCCATCTCCCGCGTCGACCCCTTGCTGCTTGGCAACTTTGGCTCCCCAGCCCTGCCCCCTGCCTCCTCATGCCTGCCTTCCGCCGTGCTGGCTGAGAGACCCAATCAGTCTGCACCGGCTAATCTTGCGGCTGAGGTTGCGCCACCTGGAGCTGGAGAAGCGGCAGCCGTTGCTTGTGATGGTGGCAGTGGCAGTGGGCCTTTGGATTTGATTCTGCGGGTGAGGGATGTGCGAAACACGGTGGTGCAGCGCAGAGATTGGGCGGATGCGAGTAATGACGACTACAAGTAATGACGACTACAAGTAATGACGACTACAAGTAATGACGACTACAAGTAATGACGACTACACGCACGTGCCACCTTCCTGACCACGCATACCTTACGTCACCCTTCCTCAGCAATTGTGGCAGTTGCTTTGCTGTGGAAGCGGGTGGTTTTTTGCTGGCTTGGGTTGGTGCATGTTTTTGAGGTTGTTGTGCTTGTGGAAGCCTGGCTAGTTGAAATGCAACCAGGTTGTCACCCTTGGTGTTGTCATGGACGTTCAGTTTACTGTGAACGTGGAAGTTGGATAAAATAATAGCCCTTCAAAAAAAGATGAACTCTAAATAATAGCGTTCGACTTTGCCACAAGGAGCCCTCAAACGCGTACAACTCGCGGGGGTTTTCCATCCCCATCCCTCAAAAGTTTCGAGTCAAAACGTCAGCCACTTTTCAATCGCCTCGCCACCACCACTCTTTCTTATCGCGCGCGCGCCTTACCTCACCCTCTGCCCCGTCAATCTGCGACGGCAGACCATTTCCCTCAACCACGTCCCGCCGCTCTTCTCTCCGAGGCCAGGTTCGATCAAATCAGGTCGGATCAGATAAGATCAGATTCCATGGCTGACGCCGCGCCCTCCACCGCTGACGTGGCGGACTCCCTCGCTGCAGCAACGATAACGGACGGGGAGAAAGCGGAGACGGCGGCAGGGAATGCAGGGGAAACGGCGAGCAAGTCCGGGACGAAGAAGGACGCCAAGGCCGCTAAGAAGGCGGAGCGACTGGCGGCGCGACAGGCGCAGCAGCAGCAGCAGCAGGCCGCGGCGGGTGCGTCGGATTCCCTCGATCCGCTGTTTGACTGACGTTATCCGGTTACATAACGTTCTCGTTTCGCGGCGCAATGCCGCCCCCTTCGTCTCCCCGCTTATGCGATCGCCCTGAGATCCCTCTCGTTGCACGCGCGCTTCGCTGTCCTACACTCCTTCACTTCCACTCCATCCCCTTTCTCCCGCTCCCACTTCCTTTCCTCTCCTTTTTCCCTCCCTTGCAACCACTCCCCCCTCTCACTCCCCCGCATCTCCCCGTCTGCCGCAACCTGCGCCGGTTGCGCGCGGCGCAGAGGAGGAGGACCCGCTCGCCGCCAACTACGGCGATCTGCCGCCCGACGAGGTGCAGTCGAAGCGCGTGTCGGGGCGGCAGTGGACGCGCGTGGCGGACCTGGTGCCCGCGCGCGCGGGGGAGGTGGTGCTGGTGCGCGCGCGCGTGCACAACGTGCGCGCCAAGGGGAAGATGGGGTTCATCGTGCTGCGCGAGGGCGGGTGCACGGCGCAGTGCGTGCTGGCGGTGGGCGCGGAGGGCGCGCACGTGAGCAAGGGCATGGTGAAGTACGCGGCGGGGCTGAGCCGGGAGAGCGTGGTGGACGTCACGGGCGACGTCGTGCTGCCCGAGAAGCCCATCGAGTCCACGTCGCAGCAGGTGAGCGCGTCGCAGCAGGTGAGCGCGTCGCAGCAGGTGAGCGCGTCGCAGCAGGTGAGCGCGTCGCAGCAGGTGAGCGCGTCGCAGCAGGTGAGCGCGTCGCTGCACGAAGGGGCATAGCGTGCTGCTTATGGGGGATGGGCGACGGGCGATGGTTGCTTGCTGCGAGGGAGGCGCAGGGCCAAGCGTGGCAGGTAGTGGGGGGCTGGTTGAGCAGCGCCCGCTGCAAACGCTCGCTGCCCGTATGTCTCGTCTCTTCGCTCCTACTCACGTCCCTCCCCTCCCTCCCATTCCCTTAAACCCGAAACCCCCAGCCAAACCTCTCCCCCATCATTCTTTTCCCCCCCGCCCACCCCCGCCAACCGTCCCCTCCCCCCGTGCGCGCGCCCTCCCCGCAGGTGGAGCTGCATGTGCGGTCGGTGCACGCAGTGTCGCGCGCGCTGGCAGTGCTGCCACTCAACATTGACGATGCGGCGCGCAGCGAGAAGGAGATCGAGGACGCCGAGAAGGTAACCCGCTCATGCTGCTGCCGCCGCCGCCACCGCCGCCGCTGCTGCTGCCGTTGCTGCTGCTGCCCCTGTTGCTGCCACCTCCGTTGCTGCTGTGAGCGCCCCTTGTGGTTGTTCGTTATTCTCGGGGTCCTCGTGCCATTGCGTGCATGTTCTTTCCGCCCTGCTCCACCGTGCCTACAGTGTTTCCTCTCTACCTCAGCTCTGAACCCAATTCTCAGGTCCTCTCTTCCATACAAGCACATTTCCCTTTCTCACCACTCCCCCACTCTCATCACTCGCATTCCTCCTCCCCCGCCCACATCACACCCTCAAGTATCCATCCCGCCCTCTTACCCATCCATCCGCCCCCTTCCCCCCTTTTCCCCGGTGGCAGGCGGGGGTGCAGTACGTGCGGGTGGGGCAGGACACGAGGCTGAATCACCGGGTGCTGGACCTGCGCACGCCCGCCAACCAGGCCATCTTCCGCGTGCAGTCCGCCGTGGGGCAGGTGCGATGCGATGCGATGTGATGTGCGCCGTGGGGCAGGTGCGATGTGCGCCGCCGCCTCTGCTCTTCTTGCTGCGCTGGGGTTAGCTGTGCTGTCACTTCCGTTCCGTGCATGCTGCCGCTGTGCCCCACGCGTCAATCCCACGAAATGAGAACCCATTCTCGCCTCTGCGCCCTATTCAACCGGCCCTTTCCCCTCCCGCTTTCCCACTTCCCCTCCAACCCCCCAGTCCTCCCCTTCCCCTCCCCCACCCCCTACTCTTAAACTCTGAACCCCGCACCTCTCTCTCCTCCCTCCTCTCCCCCCCCCCCGCGCGCAGCTGTTCCGCGAGTACCTCACGGCGCAGGGCTTCATGGAGATCCACACGCCGAAGCTCATCGGCGGGTCCAGCGAGGGCGGCGCGGCGGTGTTCCGGCTGGACTACAAGGGGCAGGCGGCGTGCCTGGCGCAGTCGCCGCAGCTGTACAAGCAGATGGCCGTGTGCGCTGACATGGCGCGCGTGTTTGAGATCGGGCCCGTGTTCCGCGCCGAGGACTCGTTCACGCACCGCCACCTGTGCGAGTTCACTGGCATGGACTTCGAGATGCAGATCACTGAACACTACTCCGAGGTAAGGGGGGGGGGGGGGGTGGGGGGAGAGGTAGGTGAAGGGGAGGGGGAAGGGGAAAGGGAGGGGGAGGGGGAGGGGGAGGTGGAGGGGGAGGTGGAGGGGGAGGGGAAGGGGAGGTGGAGGGGGAGGGGAAGGGGAGGTGAAGGGGGAGGGGAAGGGGAGGTGGAGGGGGAGGTAGACGTGGAAGTGTTTCAGGCGGTCGGGTCACTGCAGAGAACTGGGAGGGAAGGTTGTTTGCAGCGCCTGCATGGTTCATCATTAATCGTGCATGGCGCATCATTAATCGTGCATGGCGCATCATGAATCGTGCATGGCGCATCATGAATCGTGCATGGCGCATCATGAATCGTGCATGGCGCATCATAAATCGTGCATGGTGCATCATGAATCGTGCATGGTGCATCATGAATCGTGCATGGTGCATCATGAATCGTGCATGGTGCATCATGAATCGTGCATGGTGCATCATGAATCGTGCATGGGGCATGCCGGGTGTCTCTCTTTCTGCCTCATCAGCCTAACCGGGCTGGCCTACATGGGTGGCGTGCCACGACTGCCCCTCCATACCCTCGTCCCTGTATGCCCACCCACCCACCCACCCACCACCGGGGGCAGATAATGGACGTGATAAACGACCTCTTTGTGCACATATTCGATGGGCTCAACACGCGCTGCACCAAGGAGCTAGCCGCCATCAACCAGCAGTACCCCTTTGAACCGCTCAAGGTCCGCCTGCTCTCGCGCTCTCTGCTGCTTTTCTCCTTCACGCCACCTTTTCCCCCGCTCCCTTTTGCCGTTGTTGTATGGTGTCTTTGGTGCCCGTGCTTGCGTCATCACTTAGACACTCTTACTTGCTCTACCTTCTCCCCCCCTCCCCTCCCCGCGCACCCTCTCCCTCTTACACCCACTCTCCCTCCCTCTCTACCCCCCACATCCCTCCCTCCCCGGCATTCACATGCACACGCGTCAGCACACTCACTCTTGCTGTCCCCCTCTTTCTCACCCATCACGGTGGGCAGTACACCAAGGAGGGAGTGCGCATCACATTCCCTGAAGGCATGGCTCTGCTCAAGGTGACTGCTCTGCTCTGTAGGCCAGTCTTAAGCTGTCTTTTCGCCTGTGCTTATGCACTCCGCATTCAGCATTCTTTTCGATTAATCTGTAACCTTGCTTTTTTTCCTGTTTCGAGTGCCTGCAGAGCTGTTTCCTGTTCGCTTCACCTTCCTTGCACGGCCTCTTCAATGCCTTCCCTTTTTGCTTTCCCCCACTTCTTCAACTTTTATGCACGATGACACCCATCTATGCACATGGCATGGCATGGCGTGCAGGAGGCGGGGTATGAGATGGATCCGTTTGGAGACATCAACACGGAGCAGGAGAAGAAGCTGGGCGAGCTGGTCAAGCAAAAGTAAGCCATGGACCAACGGATGAGGGGAGGGTTTGGGGAGAATCGGATGAATGGAAATTGACTGATACGGCGTGTTTTAGTGCATGGCTCACCGTAAGAACCTTGCCTATCCTGTCCGAAATTTAGTCCTCCCTTCCCTTCTTTTCTGTGTTTCCCTTCTTCCAAAATGGTTCAGGTATGGTGTGGATTTCTACATCATGCATCGCTACCCCCTGGCTGTTCGTCCCTTCTACACCATGCCATGCCCGGACGACGGCCGCTACACCAACTCATTTGATGTCTTTATTCGCGGTAAGGGGACCTATGGGCCTTTTGTGCGAGAATGTACAGATGTAGTTCTTCCATGTTCTTATGCAGTTAAACAGATCATAATGACAGGAATGAACAAACACATTGGAGTCTCCGTCCTCGTCTATATGCCTTTTTCTTTCCCTCTGTGGGGCAGGCGAGGAGATTCTTTCCGGAGCGCAGCGAGTTCACGACGCTGACTTCCTTGCCCGCCGCGCCACAGAGTGTGGCATTGACGTCAAGACCATTGCGCCTTACATTGACTCCTTCCGGTATTTCCTTTCCACCAGCGTCTGCCCTCTGCCAAACTATTTATTGCCAGAGCTCTCTTTCTTTCCATCGCGAAAAGTTTCAAGCCTTTGTTTGGTGTCCATGTAGTACCAGCTTTCTTGCCCCATCCTGTTTGTGCACTCCGACTTGATGCTGTGTCTCTTTAGGTTCGGTGCTGTGCCTCACGGAGGCATTGGTGTGGGTCTGGAGCGAGTGGTGATGCTCTTCTGTGGCCTCAACAACATTCGCAAGTCATCCATGTTCCCACGTGATCCTCAGCGCCTTGCACCATAGTATTTGTGAATCATATCATTTACATTACAGGAGAGCAGGGTACGGTATGTGTACTTGTAGGTGTAAAAAAACGCACCAACAAAATTCTATTCATCTGTGAGATATATTGTAGTTGCACCAGCGAGGTTTCATTGTTCAAAACTATATTGTACATTATTCATCTGTGAGATATATTGTAGTCGCACCAGCGAGGTTGAATGTTAGGTATACCCACTGACAAGTTTGAGTGGTTGATAATATGTACCGATATGACCTCACGGTTGTGTTTGCCGTGGTTATTTTAGCCCCCACCGGGCTTCTCTCCAATAGCAACTACCGTAAGAGAAAACACTCCAATAAGCCTCCAATCTGCTCAACAAGTTTCCCACTGCAAAGGCTCCGCCTGACTAACGTAGCTGTCTTGCACTCATTCTCAGTCAGCCTGATACATCAAGGGAACCAACTACATGTGTTCGCCCACAAACGTCCCTTCTTCGACAAGCAAACTGATGGAAGCATGCCTCACTTCTCCTGTCAGACCAGTGGTAGACGTGGACTAGTCTTCGAGTACAGGATAGGCCGCACAAGTTGCCACACCTGCCACATACGGTAAACCGACCCAATTTGAGCAATGAAATAGCACTTCATACCTGCCGCTGAAAAAACAATGGGGGTTAAGACTTACCACACATGTTCTCTCCCAGCTTAATTTTGAAAAATCCTTCATCTCCCCACTCAGCGCCCCAGGAGTTCTTGACAATCCAGTATGGAACATCTTCAGAGGTGTCGTACCCAACCGCCAGAACGGCATGATTGACAGTCTGCAAGACATAACAGTGACTGCTTAGCGTGATCTCTTGTAGAAACAAAAACGGTGCACAATTCCTGGATGAAGATGCTTACATCAGGTCCCGACTTGCAAGTGTCTGAAACGTAAACCCCACTCTTGTAGAACCGGAAACCATCGACCACCTCAAACGCGATACTGACAGGGCGAACAAATGCCACAGCATCTTGTAGACTCGCCTCATCGTACTGCACTTCACAAGAATTAATTTGTGAGAAAATTACCGGATAGAGTAGTGCCTCGTAACAGTTACAGCTCTTCAGCCCTTTACCTCTGTGATGTTTACAACATCTGCAACTCGTGCTCCAACCCGCTTGGGAGCGAAGTGACATTGGTCATTCTGACCTAGGTACGGATACGCGTCTTCTGTATCAATGCCTCCATTGTACTTCACATACTCAAACGCCTGCACCACGCGCCGAAAGAAAACATTGAGGAATTCAAAAAGTTGTAACAACTCATATGATAGCTTTTAGAAAGTTACCTGCGAAGGTAAGCCACCGTTGCAGCCGTGATTATTGTACTCCCCAGCGCAATCAACCAGCTGCTGCTCAGAGAGCGAGACGAAATTACCAGTCTTCTGAAGGTACGCCGCCTCCAAGGCTCCAGTGGTGCTGCACCAAAAGCAAAAATTACTTTAGACACATACTATGGTATATGGGGACAACAAAAACTGCAGTAGGTATACCTGAAGGTCCAGCAAGAACCGCAGTGGCCTTGATTCTTCACTGGACTGACAACACCCTCATCCCGCCAATCTTTCTGCAGAAACGAATAAGCAGCAATGAAGTGAGACCCAGAAGCAGATGCTTCTAAGAGCATGAATCGCGCAAAAAAGTGCATGTTAGCAGTTTACACAAGAGTTCTCACACGCAACGGCAAATTCTTGTGAGTCAAAACATGACCGCCCTCCGTTGCTGAGCAATTCTGAGACGCGCCCAGCTTGTGCTGCTTGAATTCCTCCCAAGAGATATCAGCAAATTCTGAAAAACATAGCAGACTTCCGTAAAAAATCCAACTCACGGTTTATCAGTCAAACGAAGCAATATACTCACCATTGATTTCAAGATTGTACGGCAGGTTGGCCGAATTAGTCTCGTGAATTAGCCTCCAGTTTTCAGTGAAAATGCGAAATCGCTTCAAAGCTTCATGCTGTGTCTCGTAAGCTTTGGCAAACCTGAAACACAGTCATGAAAGCTAAAATCCGTGCTTCAAGTGATCTGACGTTTACGGCAACTTGCGGCCCTCATACCTGCTGGCAAAAGCTCTGAATTCGGAAACAAGATGACCTTCACCGAGTACGCCAAGGGCATCATCTGTCACCATGGCCAGATTCTCCGCAGGACCAACCCTCGATGCGATAGCCACGTTGCCCAAGATGCAAACAACCATAATCGTCCACATCAGATTCAGGGCCATGGTGCTAGAGGTTGCTCTCGCGAAGTGGCTAAAGAAGCAACGGCTTGGTGAGGTGAATCACGAGGTAAAAGGCCAATCAAGCAACACTGTGGCCAAACAGACTTTGTATGCACTTGGCCCTTCAACTGAACCGCAAAGCTATGCAACCTCTTTCTCACCCAGGCTCATCAATTGGACCTGTGACAGATATCAATTGCTGCTGGCCTGCCACTGCCCCTGACGACCAGACTCCTAGAATAGAGCGGGTTGGCGGATCCACGTCCGCACCACCCTTGGATTGGTGAGCATGACGATGCGCCATCACGATGACATCAGCTTTGTCCGTCAATTCAAAACGCACCCATCCTATGCCGCCATCTGGACAGCATTGACCAATCACTATAGCCAGGCGACGTGTACACCAGACTGATTCTTGGGATATGGTTTGAGCAGTCCATACGGGTAGTCGAATGAACCTTCCAGTGGCAGTGCAGAAACCCACATTCACGTTCTTTAGTTGCGAAGAAAAATGCGTTCCGACTTTCCAAGAGTCTGTTACGTACAGCAACAGCTAACACTGACATGCTAGTTACCAGTCCGAATGAAGAAATATTATAAAACGATATGTAACTGACTGGCAAGCTACTAGTAGATGCATTGTGGATACCAATGCGCCAGATGGCGTGAAAAATAACATACCCGACCACCTACTGGTCAACCATAACACGTTGGCATCCCACTTTCTCAAAGTACCTAACACTCGTACACAAACACTCTGAAATGAATGCTGAGAAAAAGATCACCTAGCAAAGCTGGCAGGCATCAGCCTAGGCCGGCGCCGATGGGCTGGCGGGAGGCTGCGTCAGCTTTGACTCGGCGCGGCCTGACAATGCGGTCGATGAGGCCGTAGTCCAGCGCCTCCTGCGCACTGAACCGCTTTATCCGTGACAGGTCCTTGGTCACCTGCACACCATGCAGTCACCATGGGCAAATGGGTGTGGTATGATGAGCCCAGAGACGCTTCTGAATCTGTGAGGCGTGAGGCATATGACATTGATTGAGGATGTGACGCATGGGACAATGTGATGCATGTGAGCAATGATGACAGAGGGGATGGACGCACTAGGGTAGATAAGGAGATGGATCATGAAACACTGGGGGATAGCATGAACAAGTCAACCACGGGAAAGAGAGGGAAAGAGAGAGAGGGGTGTACGTGTCATGGCTTCATACCTTCTCCACAGGCTGGCCTGACATTTTAGCGAGCTCCCCAAACACGTACGTGCGAACCCGAGACAGCTCCCTTGCCTCGTTCTGAATGTCATCCGCCTGCCAGCACCGGCACATGGCCACACATGCACAACACATGTGGAGCAGCGTTGAGCATGCAGCAAGTACGCGAGAACTACACAGAAGCCTGGCACTGACTATGAACCATGAGGAGCCCAGAGGCAAAAGATCCGTGCTGTGACAGCTATGCGGTGTGCAAAAGTAGCAGGTGAGAGGCATTGTAGCAGGTGTGAGGCATTGTGGCAGGTGTGAGGCATTGTGGCAGGTGTGAGGCATTGTGGCAGGTGTGAGGCATTGTGGCAGGTGTGAGGCATTGTGGCAGGTGTGAGGAATTGTGGCAGGTGAGAGGCATTGTAGTAGGTGTGAGGCATTGTGGCAGGTGTGAGGCATTGTGGCAGGTGAGAGGCATTGTGGCAGGTGAGAGGCATTGTAGCAGGTGTGAGGCATTGTGGCAGGTGTGAGGCATTGTGGCAGGTGTGAGGCATTGTGGCAGGTGAGAGGAATTGTGGCAGGTGAGAGACATTGTGGCAGGTGTGAGGCATTGTAGCAGGTGTGAGGCATTGTGGCAGGTGTGAGGAATTGTGGCAGGTGTGAGGCATTGTGGCAGGTGTGAGGCATTGTGGCAGGTGTGAGGCATGGGAGGCATGCGCAGGAATGCAACTCACCTGGCCACGGGCAGCTCCTGCAGGCGATTGCAGAGCCACTCGGGTCATGGGCATGGCCACACGCAGACCCTGCGAGCGGGGCAGGTGCGCACACACACGGAAGTGGAACAGAGAGGATGTTGGGCAAATGACACCCTCAAGGCAGCAACGAGAGCAGCCAGGAGAGATAACGGGCAGCGCAGGAAACGCTGTGGAGTGAGGCGTGGTGCAGCAGGTGATGCGATGGAGAAATGGCTGCTCAGGCAACCGGGGGCGCTGTGTGAGTGGGCAAGTGGGTGTGGTGCGCATGATGGGCGAGGTGGACGAGGCAGTGTGTGGGGAGGGAGGGAGCACCTTGGTGCCGGCAGCAAGGAGGAAGCCGGCGTTGTTGTAGGCGTAGCCGAGAGCCAGCGTGCCCACCGGGGACTTGATGGAGCGAATGGTGTCGTACAGGGCCAGCGTGGGCGTCAACTGCACTCACACATGTGGCAGCAAAGTGCAGATGAACAACAAGGCACAAGAGCGTTGCAGCGACCGCAAAACAGACGGCAGCGAGAGCAGCCTGCTGAACCAGAGCAGCACCACGTGAAAAGCCCATGGCGGGCGTGCTGCGTGCAGAGGAGCGGAGGGGCACTGACCTCGCCCCCCGGGCTGTTGATGTACATGTACATGGGCTTGTTGGAGTCGATGCTGTCGAGGTACAGCATGGTGGCCAGCACCTGGTTCGTGTACTCCTCGTCCATGAACTGCCCTATGAATATGATCCGCTCCCGGTACTGCCCCCGCCGCACGCAACACGGCACACAGGGGATGGGGAGGAGGGAGAGAGTGTGAGGATCGAGGGAGGGAGGTTGAGAACAAGCGGATTGGGAGGCAAAGGGAGAGCAAGGCTGGGTAGGCGTTTGTGGGGCAGAAAATGCGCAGCAGCAGAGAGAAACGGAAGGAAGGAGGGAGCACGGCACGAGGAGTGCAGGCACGCGGCGGGCGTGACAGCGTACCAGCACGTTCCAGATGTCGACCCACTGCCACCCGCCCTCGCCGGGCGTGCGGTACGGCACCTTGGGCGTGCCGATCGGCATCATCACCACGCGCGCTCGCCGCCCCGCGCTGCGCGCAGCCAGCACACGATCACGGGGGGGCGGGGGAACGAGGAAACGGAGAGGTTCGAGATAGTGAGAACGAGCCTAGCTATGGTGAAATGGGGACGATTTAGCCTAGAGGACAGGACGAAGGATAACCACGGCAGGGTGCGAGGAAGGCAAAGGATTGGAGCAGTGCGGTAAGCTATGGCCGTCGAGGACAGGGGATGCGGGCGGTGAGACGGCACAATAGGCGGAGAGCGGGAGCACCGGAGTCACTGCTAGCGGTGCGCACCCAGCGGGACGAGCGGCGGAGGTGGCGGCGGCGACAGTGTGGAAGAGGCGGTCGGAGAGAGAACGCGCACCGCCACGCAACGACGCCACTGCGAGGCGAGTGGTGACGGAGAGATCGGAGGGCGCAGGGGGGCATGGGGGGAAGAAAAGGAGGAAATGGGGGCGCTGGAGGATAAGCGAGCGCAGACACAGGGTGAAGCAGCGCAGGAGCGAAGTGAACGGCATGTGCAGTCTTGCGATCACAGCGCCGACATGGATCGCAACGCATGCCATGGCGTGCCGTCATGGGATATCGTCAGGGTTAAAGCGGGGTATAGGGTGGACAAGGGCGGGGAGGGGGGTGAGAGGGGTGCGGGAGAAGAGCGCAGAGGCAGGGCCGACAGGGTGCGTACCGGAAGACGATTGCGACTGAAGGCCCACGAAGGGTTGCTGCCACGAGGGCGACGCCGATAGCGACGCTGTTGGCTGCGCTAGCCTGACAATTAAGGCAGCGAACACGATAACAATCAGAACCGCAGGGAAAGGTCGAAACAGCCGTGGAATAGAAGAAAATGGGGAGGACAGAAGATGACGGTGCGATGGAATAGCGTGGGAGCAGGAAGGAGCTAGCAAGAGGATCACTGACAGTGATAAGGGAACTGCGCTGGAAAGCATGAAGTCCCGAATTCGAGAGCGCTTTCGATTAACTCGAAAAGCACTGCGACGCTTCAATTTCTCCAGCTTCACTGCGATTCGAGAGCGACATTGACCTATGCTTGAAGTATCAGTGACCATTGCTCGTACCTGGCAGTGGAGATGGACGCTGCGACTGGCGACGCCATGGCGTGAGCCATAATCACTACAGCGATTCTGGATAGACGGCCTCTTCTCGAGCTTAGGAATCCGATGTGACGGTCTCGAGAAGAGAGTGTGACGGTCTCGAGAAGAGAGTTCAAGTGTGAGATCGCCCGCCTACTAAACTGGCTACTTGCTGCTATCCTGGCAACTTCAACAAGTAACATATGCCTTTCCCCTTTGTTGAGGGGTGCGCGGAGAATGCTCCGCCACTTCCCCGATGACTCCCAAAGCTCTTCCCCCAACGACGGGGAAGAGCGCGTGGGGGGGAGCCAAGAAACTGGAAAGATGAGGGGCTGTCCGCGTGGCCCAATCAAAGGGGCCCGCCTGGCCTATTCTCAGGCAAAAGCGTTTTGTGAGGATTCGACTTGGACGGCTTCAAAACAGGGACATGCTCAAGAAATTTGACCCGCCAAGCTGACAGATTACATGTTATCCAGCTATACTGAAACTGAGAATCTTTCCAACAACAACTTGTTAATACTTTCCTAAACCCAAGTGTTCCTACTAATCCCAAACAAATTTCCTGTACTCCCCAACAATCGGCTTTTCTAGAAGAGGCTCTTCCGGTATAACCGGTGTATCCCAGTCATCACATCCCTGGAATCTGCGTGTGTGACCACTGCCACAGCATGGCTTTGACTTCAAGCGGTGCCTTTTTGTTTGAGTGTGATCTTGTCTCCGAGGCTGAGTGCAATCCCCTGCGTCTTGCTCCGAATGCGGATGTAGCCTGCCAGTTTACCGTCACTCTGCTTCTCCACACTCACATTCACCAGCGCATCCTCCCCAAACACGCTCTTGGCGTATAGGTTGGCTGCCAGGAACCCACAGTCACCCGCCAGCTGGGACCTGCAAGCACACAGGTGAGAAGTATGGCATTATTGTGGAACACGTGCGGGCCCGGATCGCAAAATGTACGGAGCTTGTAACGAGGGAGAAGGGGAGAACGAACAGAGAGGGGAAAGGATGTAATTAATAGAATGAGCAGGAAGGGAGAACAATTGTTAGGGTGGGACGTACGGCGGGGTGAGGCACTTCATGTTGGTAGATGCAACAATGTGCTGAAGGAACTCATTGGTGTCCCCAATGCTCGTGTTCACCGCCACCTGGTGTAGTAGACACAAACACACACGCAAAATCACACGCACACGCGCACGCACGCACACGCATAAGCACACGCACACGCACACGCACACGCGCACGCACGCATGCACGCATACACACACACAAACACAGGCACACATGCACATCCACGCATCTCAAGTATGCACGTGCACAGAACATAGGTTCAGAACCAAGAAACAGCCAGGTAATCAGAAGTTCAAAAACAGACAGCAGTGTTGGTTATGCCAGCATCTCCCAGCAAACTTTTTCCCATTCCAGCATGCCCATAAGCACTCCATGCACCCAGCGCCTCACCTTGTTTTCCCACTCGAACTCGGCCCACATGTTGCGGAAGGCGACGTCAGCGCAGGAGGCGGGGGAGATGTAGTCCATGATGTCGATGTGGATGTCTGACAGCACCACCACGTTGCGGTCCAGCACACTCGTGCTCTCGTACACTATGTTGCCAAAGATCACCCCCGTCTCCGTCGACGACACCTGCCCCAGTGGGATACATCCGGTAAGGTGGTGGGTGGGGGTGACAGGGGCAGGAAGATGGAGGGAGGTGGCGGGAAGGCGAGACAAAAGGGTTGGGCACGCTCTGGGTAGGGTAGCTGTCCAAAAATCACTATTTTATTGTGCTTAAATGTGGTTGAGGGTGAAAATCTATACGAGCCTCAACCATGGGAGAAACAGCAGTTTAGCTGCAAACTGTATCCTAGCAGTGTCAGTTCAACGCACCTTGATGTTGGCGCGAATGAGCTTGCTGCTGTCGGGCGCCAGCGTGTAGTTCTGAGGCCGCTCCACGAGCTTGAGGTCGCCCATGGTGGCCAGCTCCAGGCACAGGTTCTGCAGCGTCTCGCGCGTGCGGTTGACCACGGTGACGTCCAGCACGATGTCGTACTGGTGCACCGTCACATACGCCTCCGCGTACACGGGGTCGCTGAACCCCGTCAGCTGCAGCACGCGGTTCAGTTTGCGCCCGCCGCCTGCGGCCTCGTCGCGGCCGTACTCGCCGGTGGCGCGCTTGAGGTCGTTGGCCACCGCGTCCTCCAGCTCCAGCTGCGACATGCCCTGCTCGATGCACGGGCGGGCGGTGCGGGGCGAAGGGTGGTGGAGAGAGAGAGAAAGAGAAATAAAGTGGTTTTGGAGAAGGGAGGCGGTACAAGACGGTTACAAACACTGAAATGAGTGACAGTGGCCATTGGAAGATATATGCCTCCAGGGAGTCAGGGAGATAGAAGAGAAAGGGTGAGGGGGAGAGGGGCCAGGGAGAGAGAAGGGACAACAAGGCAAAGGAGGATGGCATGCACGAAAACAATCATAGTCAACCCCACCGGACGCCAAGCAGGCCCACAGTGAACCCGTGGACAGACCCCCATCCCACCTTGCGGCTCTTGAGGTGGTAGAAGTCAATGAGGTCGTCGGGTTGTGCCACCGCCAGCGCCAAATTGGCCTTGCTCTCCTCGCTCTCGCGCGTCACCTTCTCGCTGATCATCTTGCCAAACGACTGCCGGCAGTACGCCAGCCACACGCGCCGCATCACGTCCGAGGGGCGCGCGAGGATGCGCAGGCAGAGCGCAATGCGGTCGTACGAGTCGTCGTCAATGGGCTGTGGCAGCGCGGACGACTGCCCCAGGCGCAGGATTCCCACGAGGTACAGCATGGCGTCCACGGTCACGGCGTTCACCTCCGCCTTGTCCGTCATCAGCTGCTCCAGGCGCAGCACCAGCTTCGTCAGCGCCGTGCCCACCACGCTCCCCAGGAAGAAGTCCCCTGCCAGCAGCAGCGACCGCAGGTTCGCTGCCGCGTTTCCTGCCGCCGCCACCACGGCCGTGGGCGCAGAGCTCACTTCCGACGCCGCGCTCTGCGTGGCGTACGTGCCGTCCGCCAGCACTGCGGGGCGCTTAGACGTGGTGGTGACAGGCGGGGGGGGAACCGCGGTGACGCCTGGGGCGACGGGCTTGGCGGCCTCAGCTTCGGCGTCGGCGTCAGCGGAGGCGGTGGTGTAGAAGGGCAGGTCGCCCAGCGACTGCTTGATGGTCGCCATGGCGTGCTGCGCCTCGGGGAGCGTCTGCGCGAACTCGCCCACGATCCAGAGCGCGCAGGAGGCGACGCGGGAGGAGCGGATCTGGTAGAAGGTGTCGAGCAGGCGCGAGATGATGGACTCGCGCAGGCGCGGGTTGGTCTCGATGATCTCGCGCACAAAGAACGCCACGTCCAGCGCCGACGCCACGTTCTGCGCGGGGGAAGGGCGGGCGTTGGAGGGTGTGCAGGTGGGAGGAGAGGGGGAAGGAAGAGACGCGAATATGGAGGTGGGCGAAATGGGCACGGAGGGGAAGAAAAACGCTGTGAACGCTTCCCCTCCATTGCCAGCAAATCCCGTCTATAATTTTCAAAACCAACAACCTCAAACCGTTGGCGTGACGGGAGCCACCCACCTGATCGCCGAGGAAGTCCATGAGCAGGTGCACGACGGAGGACGCGACGTCAGGGAACTTGACGGCGCACGTGTGGATGGCCTGCACGAGCATCTGGCGGTACTCGCCGCCCTTCTCCACGTCCGTGCCCTGCGTCTTCACCACCTCCTTCTTCAGCGTCATGACCACCTCGTCGATGTTGCGCGGCGTGATGAGGTCCAGCGCGATGTCAAGCGTCTTGCGGCGGATGTCGAGGTTGGGGCTGGTGAGCGCGCGCAGCACGTCCATGACCATGTCCACCATCACCTCGCGGTGCTTGCTCTTCAGCTCCTGCAGCCGGTCCAGCACGATCAGCTTCACGTTGTTGTCCGACTGCGACAGCAGCAGCTGGCAGTAGCAGTTCGCGGCCGCGCGGATGGCGGTGGGCGCGGAGGAGAGCGCGATGAGCGTGCCAGCGCACTCGTAGACGACGGCGGAGGAGGGCGAGGACATGAGGGAGAGGATGATCTTGATGTACTTGGCCTTCTCCGCGGGGTTGGTGCGGCACACCTTGCGGATAAGCTCCAACACCACCATCTGCAGGATGTCGCCCCACAGCGGCACGTTGTCCAGGTTGCTCAGCAGGTAGTGCACCGCGCGATCCTGCCACGCGCGCCACGCGGGGAGACAAATGGGAGACGACAGAGGGAATGCGGCACGGGAAGAGTGATGGGTTGATTCATCTGGATGCACCGAAACAGTTTTGCGGCATGAGGGCATAAATCGTAAACGACTGAAACAATCACGTGTCGAGGTATGACCTGAACTGACTGACCAGCCCAAAGTCACTCCACAAGGTGAGTAAAGCTTATGACGTCAAGGCGCATTTCTTATCTCCACCGTCCACCGTCCACCGCACCTCCACTCTTGCAATCCGCACACGAACCCGGGAAGGGCCTCTACAGGGTAGTCGTGTATGTTCAGTCTACATGCCCAGTGAACAACACTTCACCAACTAGTCAAGCCTCAAGACACACCATCCCCGCCAGTCGACTCGCCGCGAAGACGGTTCACCTTGGCACCTCCCTCCCTGGCACCTGTCGCTGCTCACCTGAGCGCAGTTCTCGAGCATGAGGAAGGCGTTGCGCTTGGCCGAGAGGTCCTGCTCGTTGGTGATGAGCTTCTCGATCATCTCGCCCGAGTCCTGCAGCAGGTGGTCGCCGTTGGGCAGCTTGAAGATGCTCATCACCGCCAGGATGGCGTTGCGACGGACGAACGGATGCCGGTGCTCCAGATTCAGCAGGATGGACGGAATGAGAGGCTCGATGAGCTCCGTCTCCTGGAGTCGGCAGAGGAATCGCAGCGTCACACCGCGGATGTACTCGTTCGGATGCTGCAGGTTGTTGCGCAGGTTCTGGCAGATGAGAATCATTTCAGGCAGAATCTTCCCCGCGGAATCCGTCTTGTCGATAATCTCGAGGTACAGCAGTAGGAGCTTCTGGATCGTGTGGTCCTCGGACGGCAGAACGTATCGGACGATGGTGATGAAGAGTTGAGGGATCTGTTCGTTGTTGAGCAACAGCATGATGGCCTTCTTCATCGCATCCTGCTTCCTCTCCGTGTCTTGACCCTCCAATGCCTCTTTGATTTCATTTGCCAAAGACGGGCTTGCTTTGTCAAAATGCACCAAGAGCGTGCACGACTTCTCCATTTTTACGATCTCCCAATGGCTACTAAAGAAAGAGAGCGACTTTAGGAGAAGTGCTCACGACGAGGACGAGCCGAATTGAGGAACTTAAATTTTCGACTACGACGAAATGGCTTTCTGATTATGCCAACAGTGGTGTCGCCTGAGGAAATCAAAAAAAAAAAAGGACGTCCGACCAGCGGCTTTTTGTGATCTGGATACACTTTTGCTGTCCAGGCGCGAAACCAAGGTACGAAACAACGTGAGGATCACAACCGAAAAGACAGGACGCAATATCCTGTGAAGAAATCCTAAGCCGCAAACAATGGACAGAAAAATGGCTCGAGGAGATCCTTTCCAGCGAGCAGGATTCAGAGAAGTTGATCTGGAAGAAAGCGCAGATCTGGAAGTCAGGGTGCATGGGCAGTGAATGGAGTGGTGCAGGCAGACGAGGAGGCCTTGGGAATTGGGGCGCGCGGGGGGCGGGGAGCGGGAAATTGTGAGCGGGGGGTGGGCGGATGGAGGGCTTAGTAGGGAGTGGCAGGCGTGAACAGGCATGGGGAGGATGAGGGTGGAGGGAAGGGACGACGGGGCTCAACTGACTGACATCCAACCACTAACTGCCGTGTACTGACTCTAACTAGCATGTTTAGAGAAAATCAGTATTGCCAGCTGAATTGCATATTCTAATTTCACCTTACGGTATAATGATTAGATATGCTTGAGAATGATACATCTCTTATTGGACAGCATGTCAAGAAGATCCTGATACTTACAGTTTTGAGTGATTAGATATGCTTAGATATGCTTGAGAATGATACATCTCTTATTGGACAGCATGTCAAGAAGATCCTGATACTTACAGTTTTGAGTTTTGTAATGATTAGATATGCTTGAGAATGACAGCATCTCTTATTGTTTCTGTCTAACACGTCCATTTTTCAACCGTTTCGAATTAGCTTCCAGTATAAAACTGGTTGAAAGCTCTAGGTTTATGGTTCTATATGTATATGATTAAAATCTGTAATTGTATATTCTGTGTTAAAATAAAATAGAATTCACCATTAATGCGGATTTTGTTTCTCTGTTGATGTTATAACTAAGAATCGTAGTGGATAGGATAAGGTTGCCAAGTATAAGGGAGAGAACTGTGAAGTCTCTGTAATGACCTTGTCAATAAATTGAAAGAGAACAAGATGAATATAAGATTGAAGTACAAGAGTATAAATAGCAAGCCTAGCTAGCCATATACTCTGAGGGGTACATTCCCTTATTAACTGAATTGCATTGCTACAGTAACCCACGACTATTGCCATTCTAGACAGTTACCATGTTGCATTTCGCAACTGCCTTGTGCGGTTACTGGGCAGTCAAGGGTCACGACCGTTGACTGTCTTCGACTGTTGACCTTCGGGTGACCCTCGATCTTCCGCGTGCTCTATATGAGCTCATGCGGTACTGGTACAGGCGTCTGCTTCGCAATGAGGAGACGCCATAGCGGAGAGCCTTCGGGAATGCTTGTGATAACCTTTCGGTTATTCCAACACTCCCCTTCATTCCTGAAGGTGAGCCACGTGGGATTTCTTGGTGATCCCGCAAAGGTTGGCGCAGTGCTGGAACTGTTGACGTGGCAGTTTCTTTGTCAGGAAGTCGGCTGCCATGTCACCAGTCGGGCAGTACGTGAGCTTGACCTTGCCCTTGTCGATTTCGTCCTTGACGAAGAAGTAGCGAAGGGCGATGTGTTTCGTGCGGTTCACGAAGCCGGGCTTGTTTGCGATCTTGATCGCGCTCTGGTTGTCGCAGAGTAACGTGAAGTGCCCGTTCATCGTTACTTTCGCTTCCTGCAGGAGTTCCATCAGGTACAGTCCTTCGCGAACAGCTGCGCTGGCGGCGATGAATTCTGCTTCGGCTGACGAAAGGGCGATGAGTTCCTGCTTCTGGGAATTCCATGAGATGAGTCTAGCAGGTTGAAGCTGAAAAATGAACCCTGTGCGGGAGCGTCTGTTATCAACATCTCCCGCATGGTCAGCGTCTACGTAACCGTGCAGCTGCAGAGTAGCCGTTAAGTTAGCTTCGTAGGTGAGGCCGACGTCGGGAGTAGAGATGAAGTATTGAAGTGCGCGGCGTAGATCTTGTAGATTCTCCCCTTCAGGTCGCTTCATGTACTGAGCGAGCTGGCTTGCGACGTAGGAGAGGTCGGGCCGGCACGTGACGGCGGCGAACAGGAGGCACCCGAGCTGCTGCTGATAGAGCCGATGATCCTCGAGAGAGAGGCGTGGTGTCTGGTTCGTGGTTAGGAGGAGGAGTGCGAAAGGGGGTGGAGAGGTTGATGGGTGCGATGCCGAATTTCTTCGCGAGTGTCTCGGCATATTTGGCGGCGGAGAGGTGAATGGAGGAGGCGGACTGGGTGATGTTGAGCCCCAGGAATTGAGTGACGTCGTGGTTGACAGTGACCTCAAGCTGCTCCTTAATATCCGCCTCGAACTGGTCCAGTAGCTCCGTGTCGTCGCCGGTGTAGAGGAGATCGTCGACGTAGGCAACGAGAAGGATAAATTTCCCGCGCGACTCCTTCCTGTACATGCCGAGGTCGTGTGGCAGCTGTTGGAAGCCGAGCTTCGTGAGCACGGTGTGCAGGTACTGTTGCCACAGGCGAGGTGCTTGTTTTATCCCGTAGAGGGATTTCTGGAGCAGGCAAACGGCGCCGTCGTTCTCTTCGAAGGCGTGCGGCTGTTCGACGAAGATGATTGCGTCGACCGGAGCGTACAAGAATGCACTGCCGACATCGATTTGACGGAGTGGGCGCGACGGCTGCGATGCAGATGAGGATTCGCACGGAGGTGTGCCGTCCAACTGGTGCGTAGGTGAGATCGAAATCCACCAAGTGAGTTTGCTCGAACCCGCGCACCACCCATCGCGCTTTGTATTTGTCGATGGAGCCGTCCGCTAGTGTTTTGATGCGGAAGACCCATTTCCCGCTGAGAAATTTTCTCCCCTTCGCAGATGTCCGGGGAGCAAGCTTCCAGGTGCCACGGCTTTTGAGCGATGCGATCTCCTTGGCCATGGCTGCCTTCCACTTCTCACTGTCGGGGCCGGAGAGAGCTTGGCGAACGGTGGTGGGTTCCTTGGGGGAGGTGTGGTGAACAGCGACGGCGAGCCCAAGGATCCGGAGACCAGTTTCGTTGGTCTTTTCGTAGTGCAGGCGATCATAGTCGTGGAAGCTGGTTACCTCGACCACGTCGTCGTCACTTTCGTTGCCAGAGCGGATGGAGTCCTACGAGGTGTTTGGTGGTGGTAACTCGGCATCTGGTGACTGGCGGGCGTCGCTGTTGAAGTTATGGGCTTTGCGAGTTGTATCATCAGGATCAGGTTGGTGTAGAGGGATGAAGGTTGGAGTCTGGAACGGGCTTGTAAGGGGGATGTTGGGTGCGCTGTCAAACTGGGTAACATTTGTTGCATCCACATCTTCCGCCAGGTCAGCTTCATCGTGTGGAGTTGCGAAGCTGCGGTGTCCCTCGAAAACCCTTTCCGGTGCCCTGTCAGCTTCGCGGTGTTCGTTGAACAGTGGCAGAGTCAGCTTCTCGTAGAAGATGCAGTCACGTGATTTCGTCACTTCGTGTGTCGCGTAGTCCAGCACGATCCACGCCTTGAATTCCTTTTCGATTCCGAGGTGGATGCCCCAGCGAGCTCGGTCAGCAAACTTTCCGGTCCTTGCTGTGTGTGGTCTGTACTGTACCATGCAGCCAAACACCCGAAGCAGACGCGTGTCTGCCTTTCTGCCCGTCCACGCCCTGTAGGGGGAGTTGTTGTTCTCGAGGCTTCGGGATGACAGCAAGTTGTGCAGCCGGACTGCATGGTTCATGGCGAATGGCCAGTAACGAGTTGGGATGGCCGACTGCTTCATCAGGGCCCTTATCCTGGTGGCGAGGCTCCTGTTTGTCCGTTCTGCTACTCCTTGCTGCTCGTGAGCGTAGGGCAGGGACTCCAGATGTTCAATCCCTTTCTGTCTGAAGAGCTCCTTGAATTCGTCTGAGAAGAACTCCAGAGCTCCGTCCGTCTGCCAGCTCTTTAACTTAAGTCCCGATTGTCGTTCAGCCCGCTTCATCCACGCGACGAAGCATTCGAAGGCGAGTGATCTGCAGTCGGTATTGACAGCCCAGACGTGGCGAGTGCTTGCGTCGATGAAGGTCAGCGTATAGTATTCGCCATCGAGTCCTTCCTGCGTCAGGCACATAAAATCGCTGTAGACCTTCTCGAGTGGTTTGTAGCATTCGTAGCCCGACGGTGGATCGGGAAAGGGCTTGTGGGCGAGTGACGCAGTAGGGCACACGGTGTATGGCGGGTCGTCGGAGTTTACGGTGAGGGAGCCTTCGCGGGGAAGAAGCAGTGCTCCGTCGTCGAAAACGCCAGCTTGCAGGGAGTTCTTGAGGGTTGCATGTGAGGGGTGCCCGACTCGCTGATGCCAAATTGCTGGTTCCGCACGGTAGCCGACCGTTTTCTGATAATATTTGTGCCTTGCTGCTTCGTCGTTTGCCTCCCCTTCAGGTCCTGCATCGGCGACGTCGTCGGTGTCGGCGGCGAGCGCGTGAATTGACTTTCGTTCAAGGAGCGCGTGAGGAATACCGATGATGTCGTCGGTGTCGCCGGCTTCGACTTGGTCTCCGGTAACAAGCAGGCACTGGTTGGGCCAGTCGCGGACTGGTAATCCCTTCATGGGAATGCGGAAGTAGCTGTACTCGGTCCCGATGACTTCAAATTCTTGTGGTCCTTGTTCTGGCGGCGCCGGCTCCTCGGTAGGTGCTGGTAGTTCTGCTGCTTCTCCGAAGAATTCATATGTTTCTTCCTCCTCTGACTCTTCTTGCATGGGTTCTGGTGTGTCAGGAGCGCATTGATCGGGGAGAGGAGGTCCGCCCCAACTGGTGCCGCGCGTTGCCCAGTAGGGATCGATTGCCGCGGTTTCCGCTGAAGGGAGTCCCGGAGCTTCGGGATAGGCAGGAGCAGCTTGACCCCAGCCTTCTTCGCTTGTT